GTTCTGACCTATGCCTGAACTGCTGACTAAGTCTAATGTTTACTAATTAGGACAATTGGTTTTAGAGAGAGGGTAATGTTACAGTTCTCTACTCTTGTACCTTTAGTTCTAAGGGTTCTATACCCTCCTGTACCAGAACTTAGGACTTCCATCCCTTAAGAGTACTATCTATAGACTATATACATACTGACTCTTACTACTACCCTTCCTTACTTTATCATTCTATTCCTTTGACCACCCCTTCATTCTTTGTTTATTCTATAGTCTCTTACCCTTTGTCTATCCCTTCATTCTTTGTACCTTTATCTTTGACCTTCCTTTCTTTCATTCTTTATGACTTATTATTCTTAGTAGCTCATACTCTCTGAGTACTCTTGTGTAGTTTAGTATATATAGGTGTACAAGATCAGACTAGTCTTATAGTCTTGATCTTGTCTACTCTAGATAGTCCTGTACTCTTAGGCTTACTTTATATACTCTACTCTTGTCTCACTCTCTCTCTCTACCTGTTCTACAAGTTCTAACTATGTTCTAGTGTTTGTATTCTGTATTTCTGTTGTGTAGGATAGTTGTAATCTAGGTCCCCTTACTGAGCCTTCAGGTCCCCTCTATACTGTTACTAACATGTTTTAGGTTTTAAGGTTGTAGTCAGTTCTGAACTACAGTTACCTTTACTGAATCTATACAGATCTCTCCTCCACCAATTACAAAGCCTAGATAATCTACTGACTCCTGTACAAAAGAACACTTTACTTTTTAGAGGAACAGTTTATTATCTTAGAGCTACTATAGAACTACTTAGATTAGTTAGTAATAGTACTCAACTGTTTAGGTAAAGATCAGAATGTTGTCTAGATACACACTAACATACTCTGAGTCAATCAGATCTGTAAGAATGTGATTCATGAATGACTAGAATGTTGTAAGCAAGTTAGTTAGTCTGAAGAACATTATAGTTAGTTTGTACAATCTGTAATTAGTTTAGAATGTAACCTTCTACTCATCTCTGTCTTAGATCCAAATGTTATTATATTCTTATCAAATGTCCAACTTAGTAAAAACTCTAAATGTATATGTCTTATTAATAAGCTCCTGAATTAGAGGGAGTAAGTACTTGTTTTTAATAGTACCCTTATTAAGACAATAATAATTCTGAACTAGGTAGAGCTTCCTATCTTTCTTTTTGACAAAGAAGAAAGGGGAGACTATAAGAGACTTTAAGGGTCAGATCTAACTGTTCTAAAGATTTTCCTAAAGGAACTCATTAAGTACCTCCTACTTGTCTCTGTTGAGTAGGTAGACCTTACAATCCTTAGGTTGGAAACCCTTAGTCAATTTAATTGTATAGTCTTAGGAGTAACATTTAGAAAGCTAGTCAAATTCCTCTTTACTAAAGACTTTAAGTAACTCTTGAACAAAATCTGACAGACTGAGTCTATATGTGTTCTAGAGTAAAGTTGTTCTGAGAGGGTTCTAGACTAGTTCTGTCTCAGACATCCTTCAGATTAATATTATTCTATCTTGACTAGAGTATGTGTTTACATATTCATTCTAGTTAAAGAAGAACAACTAGTCACCTTTATTAGAACTGTTAGTAACATTAGAAGTGTTTGTATCTACTTAGGACAGTAGTATAAGATAGTTGTAAGACTTGGAACACTAAACAAATGTAAGTGTCTACTCTAACTAGTCAATAGTAGGGTTGTAAGCCTTGAGTCATTCAAATCTAATAAAGATGTCTGTCTTTCTAAGGTTAGTAACTCTAAACTCAATACTTTCCTTATAATCCTGAATAGTTATCTGTAGTTGGACAAACTTAGTAATTCAACTATTCTGGTTCAGGGTTCTTTCTGTATTGTATACTAGGATTAGAAGTAGAATGTGTTAAGTAGAGAGATAGTATTCCTACACAAAGGCCTTATTAATACACAAACTAGTACATTTACTATTTACTAGAGCTATTGTTCAGATCTGAGAGGACTCTAAGAAGGGAGTCAAGAGGATAGAGACCTGAAGCTAGTGTCTAGAATGTCCTCTAATAAATTACTACTTGTTCTAAAGGGAATGTACAGTTTGTATAGTCTTATTGTCTAAGAGAGTAAGTATATGTACTAACATTTCCTTATTAACCTCTCTCTTTCAACAAGGACAGACCTATGTTCTCAACTGTGAACTCAGCTAAGACTATCCTTACTTAATACTATAAACAAACTACTGAGTAATAAATAGGACTGAGTAACATTCTAAACATTCTAAGCTTTTAGAACACAGAAGTAGTAGGTTAGATTGTGTAGATTTAGACTTGAATAAAGTACAAAGAGAAGAATCAAAAGAATCAGAAGAAATAAGAGAACTATCTACTTTTGTTTTCAACTTTTTCCTTTTTAATAAATAATTTTGTTGATTTACTTTTTCTACTTTTTCTACTTTTCTTACTTTATTTACTTCTAATCCTACAGTGTCTATTGAATCAAAAGTGACTGTTAAAAAATCTGAGTCATAGCTCTTCAGTACTACATTCACTATTAAGCCTCTACAAAATCCTAGAGTACATAGTTAGAGTTTAAGAGTTCTAAAGTGACTTCCAGATTTGTAGAAAAGGCTTCTTACTACAAATCCTACTTGTTACTCATTATTACTCTAATGACCTAACAGATATACTGTTACTTTTACAGGCAGTCCTTAATTTAGTGTCCTGACTTTCTGTAGACAAAGTATACTCCTTACTTTTAAGCTTCTCTAATGTTTATTAGAACAGATTAATTATAAGTTATAAGCAGATTGATCTAAGAGCTCAGAACTGTCAGGGTTGAATGTATGTGTGAGTGTTCTGTACAGACTTGACACATTCAAGCTATAGCTTAGTTGAAGGAAATAGTACACATTTTCTAATTAGTGTAAGTGATCAGTTCTAGTATTATTCTAAGAATCTTATTAACTAGTTCTGAGTAAAGAGCTTTTTCAAGCATTCTAATAAGAACATTATTGAACCTGAGTATGAATCCTACCTTTCAGGCTAGGATATCAAACTCCTGAAAGAAGGTATTAGTAGAATGTTTGCCCTGTCACAGAGATGTAAGCTTGTTTTATACATTATACTTCTTATTCAGATTAATAAAGGAAGTACAGAGCTTCCTTATAAATTTCAAGTACAACTTATTGTTCTAAAGTCAGATCAGACTTCTAATCTGATAGCTTTCAATCCAGTTCTAGACTCAGGTAGCTGTATTACCTTCCTTTATAAAGGAGAGAACAAATAAGACACAATTAAGGTCTAAGGATAGATTAGTCAAAGTAGTAGTCATGTATAGTTCAACTTGGCACTAGAAGTTCTTAAAGTACTACCTATTAAAGTCTAAAAGGTAAGCTACATGTACTTTCTTTCTAGAACAGGTTACAACTTCTGGAACAATTAGAATAGGTTCTAAAAGGGCTGAGAGCACATAGTTAGTAAAGGCCTCTTAGATAGAGGTCTACACATATTAAGCTAGGTCTGCTTGTAACTACTAATCTGGTAGGACAGTAGGGGTGACAGTTAGTGTAGAAGGGTCTATGTTTATACTACAAAGGAATCAACACTAAACTAAAAGGGGTAATGAATGGAAGAAGAGTAGTAAAAGTTTAAAAGGATTTAGAAAGTTTAAAATTTAAAAATGTAAAAGGGTTAGGACAAAGAAAAGAGATTAATGTAACAGTAAGTACTAATGTCTGAAACATAAGAGAGTTATAGGGTAGTAATAGGTAGTCTTAATCTGATGTTAGTAACAGTATAGAGGGGACCTAAAGGCTTAGTAAGGGGACTTAGGCTACAACTATCCTATACAACAAAAATATAAAATGTAAGTACTAGAACATAGTCAGAACTCACAGAACAGACAGAGAGAGAGAGTAAGACAAGAGTAGAGCATATAGAGTGAGTCTAAAAGTACAGGACTACCTAGAGTAGACAAGATCAAGACTATAGGACTAGTCTAATCTTATACACTTATATATACTAAACTATACAAGAGTACTTAGAGAATATGAGTCACTAAGAATGATGAGCTACAAAGAATGAAAGAAAGGAAGGTCAAAGATAAAGGTATAAAGAATGAAGGGATAGACAAAGGGTAAGAGACTATAGAATGAACAAAGAATGAAAGGGTGGTCAAAGGAACAGAATAATAAAGTAAGGAGGGGTAGTAGTAAGAGTCAGCCTGTATATAGTCTATAGACAGTGCTTCCAAGGGACAGAAGTCCTGAGTTCCAGTACAGAAGGGTGTGGAACCCTTAGAACTAAAGGTGTGAGAGTAGAGAACTGTAACATATAGCTCCTAAGTGTGTAGTTACTATTAGTACTTACTTAATATAACTCAGAGGGGTTTGAGCCATAGTACTTAGCTAGAGTAGAACTATGCTCCTTAACACACTTGTGGCTCCATTCTCTAGCCATCTTCTTTCTTATATATACTGTTACTGTCATTCTTAGTAAAGTTAGTAATATATGAAAGAGTACAAACCTGGATCTTGTGTGAAAGAAATTACAAAGTACAAAACCAATTGCTTATGAGAGCAGATAGCAAAATTGAAGCTGTAGTGTAACAAATGGGTCATCTCTGTAAACTATTATTTAATCACTACAATTCATTCTTAACATAAAAGATTAACATTACTAAACAATAATATTTGTCTAAGCATTAAACCATACTTCCAATGTGTCTAAGAACTCTATAGTAAATACAGGATCAAGCATAACTCATAATAAAAGACATAGTAAAATTGGTTCTATATACAGAGTTGTACTTTATTACATCATAATATACTATATTTTTTTACTATCTATTATCAACCATTTCTAATTGCTACTAGTAGCATTCCCTGTTTATTATGACCCAATTAACTTGTAGTTAGCCTGATTGATATTATTGAGAGTTTAACAACTACCTGCATATCATGATTTACTTCAAGGAGCTTTAAGACTATGTAATTGATGCTTAGATTAGCAAGTGGATATAATTAGATTACACTTGTAGAAGATTCACACACATGGTCTCCATTTGCTGGTTCCGCTGTTTTGCCCATTCGAAGTTCTCATCACGTCTTTTACTGTCAAACATAAAATAAGACATTTTCTCTTTGACCTTTTCAAGATCTTCCTTGACATGACGAAGGTCATAACTCTTTTTTGTCCTCCTAGCTTTCATCTGCTCTCTAACGGCAGTGTCATACCACTGCTTAACCTGTTCGTAATCCTTATACTGCTTTAGAAGCATACTTATAACTCCGTCACACTCAGGCATATTTAAAGGGCTGTTAGGCTTCGGGTCGACAGCTTTGGGCTCTGATGCACCTCCCCGGTTTTCGAACGTATCTTTGCCACCTGCTGCAGATGAACGCCTTGTACTTTGATGATTGGATGTTGCAGTATCGTGTGTCTTGCAGGCTTCGCTCATGTTCAACCAACGATGTTCTCGAAGTAGTGGACCTTCTTCCATCTCGAATGGAGCCCCATTTATAGCTTTGTTTGCGTAACAAAGCTAGTGACCGATGTAAGAGCACAACTTCACGATACAGCCATTGCAATGTGAAAAAATGCGCAATTAACCGACGAGGACGGTGTACGATCAGCATATTATAACGTAATAGGACTTTATATATGCGCGAGATAGAAAGCATGGGTATAAATACTGGGCGACGGCAAGTGCGTGAGGGGCATAATAGTTGTGATTTAGGTTTACAATGACACAGAGCAAAACCATAATGAATGCAAAGAGGAATACGCCCGCCTTTTGAGGGGCGTCGCATTCCCGTCGGTGCAAACAAGACATTCACCATTTTTCTACATCGTACACTCTATCACTTTTTTTCAGTTGATAGGACGAGTTTCGCATTGGCATGTAGTATTTGTTTGCTGTTCCGTAAGCGCGTCGATCTCCTTTTCCGGAATTTGCCGTACCATGCTCTTCCCCACTTTACTTTGCTCAAAGGATTTATGGTAGTACCTAGAATCCTCTCCTTGTCCTGACGTGCCGCGTTCCTTCCCGTGCTTGATGTCTGGGTAACGCAACAAGCCAAGCAGCTTAGCAATCCGTGACCGACTTCAGGACAAACCGGGATGGAGCGCAGCCCACGTAACTACAACAGCTCTTGATGCAGTATGGTGCCAGACACGGATCCGTATCATGAAGTTCAACGGGAGATGCAAGGGACCCAGGCAGGTGCTGGAACTCTCCTCTCGGGCTTCCTGCGGATACAGAGTATAGGATAAGCAAAGTCAAACGGGAGAGGAGAAGGGAGTGGAGAGATTTCATATACGCTGAGTGTGCTCAAAACCACCTTGAAAAAGCACCCTGAACACCTTGGAGCCGAACGTGCAGAGCGTAGTGTCAGCTCCGTGCCTAATTGACCTCCATCGATACTATCGCTTACTGTGTGGCACGACCTCTTCGAAATGGATATATGTGGTAACAGGGTCGTAGCGAATTTCGGTCCAAAGTTCTTTGGACTTGGCGACAGCGAGATGCAGAAACGACTCCACTACGTCCGTGAAGTACGACAAGGACTTAAAGTGTG